AAAAGCTAGATACAACAACACGAACATAATGGCAGAAACCCGTCCTAAAAGTACATTGGATGATCACGGAGTTCCGTAGACGTCCGCGTAACCTAAACAGTATAGCCCAATATTTAATTAAACATTGAAAGTCACTATTAATATCCTACCAAATATTATAATTGTGAAAGATTGTATGTTTGCTACTTAATCACGAAAAAAATGGCTGAACAGATTTGTATGAAATTTAGCACACATATAGTTTATTACCTGGATTGAGACAGCCTAAACAAAAACATAAGATAATATTTTCGTGTAAGCCATTGATTTGTAATATAAAAAATATATAATTTGACTATATAAAAAATTACAAAGAAAACTGGGACAAGTCTGGTTTCTGTCGGGTCTGGGTCTGAACGATGACCGTTCTTCTTTACTGACTTAAAACCTTAAAACCAATAAAGAAATGCGTTCTTCTAAGGAGTATCTTTATCTTAAAAAAGTATTTAGAAAATACCTATCTTGTATCTAGTATTTCAAATACTTTTTACAAAGGTATCTTGTATCTGTTATCTAAATATTTGACTACCTAGTATCTTGTATTTTGTATTTAGATACTTTTCTTGGGTATCTATTACATCTCTGGAATTTGTGCACCTTCATTATTATTTTTCTGGTCTATTTTTATCTGGTATATTTTTTCTGGTGGACCGGACTATACCTACTTTGAAATCACTAGCTATAATATCTACCTACTTATGAAATCAGCAAGAGTTAATACACGAATTAAAGCACTATCAGCCGCAATTTGTTCCATTGCATGCATCGAGAATTCCGCGTTGGCACAGAATACACTGAAATTCCCAATTTCGGCAGAAATCAACGCTGCATCCATTCAACTGGAGCGCTCGCGATTGAAAACAAACACGAGTCTGGCCTCGCCCTATTAGGGTTCCGTACAATGAACTACACATCGTACATTATGAATCGGCGTTTTCAGTATTAAATTTGCTGTTTAAATACAGCATATGGGACATCATAATTATATGATGATGGCCTACCAAGTCTTCACATTCATAACTTTTCATAAAGTTTCTATTTTTAGATAGACCCCGTGACAAAATGGTCTAAAAATAATGCCACCCCCCGTTTCTTTGCTATTGAAAATAAAACATAATATTAAATATCTTATTGTATTTATATCCTACTTAACGAGTTCTAAACATTGATGTGTCAAATGCTGGCGTAAAGTCTCCGTTTCATTTATGGGTATAAAATATGAAAAATAACTTAATTGGATTTTCAACTAAATGTTCGGCTCTCGGCAAGCATTTTATATGAAATATCAACATTTCAGTGTAACTCATTCCGTTTATAGATAGATAGACAGACGACCGAATGACAGCAATAGGGTTCCGTTTTAACTCTTTGGGTTTCGTACTCAAAAAATAATCGGTACAGAGAGAAAATTCACTAATATTGTTTTCAATTAGGTTATTAAAAGTGAAAAATATGATCATCGAACACTGTGAAAGCTGCTTAATTACCATGTTCTTTTATTTCGAGCATCTCCATGCGTCGTGAGTTCTCATTAATCAGCAATGGACCCAATGATTTATTTTCCTAAATCCATATATATAGAGCAGGCCTGTACCCAAGGGGTCTACCTTCTATCGCAGAACTTCTAATTTCATAATCACACAACACAGAAAGATGTCCTTTTTGTGTTCTGTGGTCATAATATTATTATGCGGATGCGGCGGATGGCATCAATTTTATTTTGTTGAAAAGCATTTGGCATTCACTCATTTAGCAGACATTGAATAATTTTGTAATTCAGAATTATCTTTAGGCATAAATTTAATATTCAAAATAATTAAAATGAACAACCAGGATATTTGCAAGATAAAATTTTGCCCAAAGTTAATAAGCCTAATAAAATTGAGCATTATTGTCAGTATTTGCTTTGCAGGCCGCACATGCGTGTTCCGTGCGTTCCATCTGCCTTTTTATTTGTTCTGTAATCTGAGAGTATGCAACTCGGACATTAGGTTAAACAATAAATATATTAACAAAAAAAATGCCTTAACAATGATCGTTTAAAGAAGATTATGCCAAATGAATTTCGGAGCAACACGATTCTGCCAGATGGATTGAACTCGTGTTCCAGTAGTGAGGACATTAATAGTCTGATGATGATAACGGCAATTTATAAATATTGCCTGTGTGTCTCATATATTGGCAGTAATGTCAATACTCGCTTCTGTAGATAATCACATTCATATCATCAATTCTTGTTAACAAGTTTAATGCAAAACTGACGGTTCGACGGAGTTTCGTCTATATGCTGTCGGAAAAAGTACTGTTATCCCCTGCAGTATAGGTATGGACACAGAATAGGTCAATGTCAGTAAGGGGATTACGAACGTTAAACGAACTGGTGCAGGACAGCAACGGAACACATTAGTGCGGATTTGCCGTTACATATTGTAGCATGTGGCTTGTCGCCCTAGCGCATTTACACAAGGATAATGTGTTAATACACATGGAATAAAAAAAGTCGAAACAAGCTACCTACACTTATAGCTATTGAATTTAACAAGACGTGTCAAGATGCGTGGATGGGAAATTTGTCAGATTTAGATAAATAACTACTCAGACTGTGCAAAGGCGAGTATTAATTTTGTTTTGCGGGAAGTCATACTTCTGCTTTTCCCATACATTTTTCTGTTCTGTGGTCCATATTCACTTAAAATGGTTTCGGCGAACAACATTTTTTCCGAATGGAATCCTAAAAATTCTCCAATGTTAATAGCGAGTTTGAAGAGGGTTCTGTAGCAACATGATGTTTTATTGGAATACGTACGTTTGTTTTGCTTAGTGTTGCCCAAATGCAAGAACAAGACGAGTTTTAGCAAGTCTTGGTCTTGGTCTTGCGCCAATACACCTGGTCTTGGTCTTGGTCTTGCAGCAAGAGTCTTGCAAGTCTTGCAATTACCTATTAGACTATTGCTATTTATTAAAGTTTACTTTAGATCTTAGAAAAATGTATTAGAATTGGAACATTGTGAGCTTGAATTAACATAGTTATAGAAAGACCAATCATAATCCTAAATAATCAATATTATAATATATACTTACTAGAATAAATTATTATGACATCTACTACCTATCCTTACGATTATCTAATCATAATACTACTTGCGTGATCAGTATAATGTATTCGTTTCCATTCTAAGCACTCTGAAACTTATTTATTCTTTGGAACACCTGTACTCTAAAATTCGAAAATCGAAGTTCATGTCGTACCATCTCGCTCGCTCATATGTTAAATAGTATTAGCGTGAGTGGGACGGCACGACACGAAATTAGAATTTTGCATGAGTATACCTGCGGCGGCAATCAAATAGTGTCAAATGTTGTGATTTCGGCGCGGCGGCAACGATTGTTGTATGTGATTTCAATAGAAGCCGCCGGCGCGTGTATCATCACCATGTACTTCCGAAAAGCGGCAAATTTCTTTGAGAATTCAGTACAAAACCTTTGATGCCGCATTATCAAAGTGCCGATGGTTAAAACAAAACTATGCATGCACTCTGTTTGATTTTAATGGATATTTTTTTATTCGCTATGTATGTTTATGGTATTGGTCGTAATGCGCATAGGTCCAGTTTTTCATATTCTTTGATACAGTTTTTTGCGTCCCATAGAATTCCTAAGCGTACCTATACACCGAACTGTTATACCTAACTACTCCGTGAAATAGCGCTAAGTCCTAGCTGCAAGACGCAAGAGTCTTGCCGGATTAGTCTTGTTCTTGCTCAAGTCTTGCACGGTCAGTTTTGGTCAATACCAAGACCAAGAACAAGACCGCGTATTTTTAGCAGTAAGACCAATTGGTCTTACTGCTAAAAATACGCGGTCTTGTTCTTGGTCTTGGTCTTGCAAAAAAGGCAAGAACAAGACCAAGACTGCAAGACCAAGACTGAATTTGGGCAACACTAGTTTTGCTTCGATGTGAAACAGCAAACTTATGCAATTTACTTTGATACGTATTTCTTATTTATTCCAACTTGTATAAAAAAACATAGGAACATAGAATCAAATATTGCTAACTATATGTAAAACAAATTACTCAATATGTGTGATAGTAACTCCGGATGTTTGTTCTTCTCTCTCACCGTCTATCAGTTGCCTAACAAGACCATCATACAGATTTTTGTCTGCATAAAATCATTTTAATTATTAATAACTTTCTCTTAATGTTTGTATACATGTTCAAAAATATAAAAGTAATTCTAATTGAAAAACGCGTCTGGATCCTGAGAATTATATATCAGCTTGTAAATCGTTAAATTACTGTGAAAATCTTAACCTTATTAATTTTTTTGTCATTTTTCCTAGTTAAAATTTCCCTATACATTGGTAGTATTTTGTTCCCTTCTACCGCGTGCTTATATTAAGGTAGGTATAAAATCTATTTGCGAACCAGGTGTGTGATAACGTGACCACGTCAATGTTCCACGACACAGAAAACTGAATTCTGCTCCGCGAGCGTAGGGCGTAGGGCTTCACTTCACGAGCTATTGCCCGCACGTCATCGCCGGCCCGCGCTAAATCTACTAGAAAATCACCCCATTTGTCGGGGAATTCCGGCGAAACTCTTTGTTTTAGGTATTTAACAAATACGCTCGCTACATGTGAAAACTAGGTTTTTAGGGTGTAACAAATGACAGTCACTGTCAAATTTTTGTCTTTTATTTTTCTCTCACTCGTTTCGTTGTGATGTTAACAAGAATATTATGTTTCTCCACATTTGAAGCTTTAAAAGGTGAAAATCCGTACTAAGATCGCGTTGTCCATTCTCCTTATTCCATGGTTCATAGGAATGGTACCTGTGTCTTAGCATCGGAGACATCAAAAGGCTGATGATGATGCCCAAAGTGTAAATGATTTTATTTTATTTTTATACGAGTTCCGTATTTCGGAAGCAACTTTATAAAAGTTTGTTTTGTTTCTAGTCGAAGCTGAACTGCGAAGTACTGCATGATGAACTGGCCTTCGAAGTACGCTGGGCAGTTGCCGGGGACAGTATCGTACTTCAGCTGGTCGCCAAACTAGGTACAATAGGTTAAATAATATTAATAAGTAATTTGTTCATTTCTTGAGCGAGAAACTAGCCGACTTCGTCTGAGTGTTGCAGATTTTCAGTTTTTTTTAACACACACCAATTAGCCTAGCCCCAAAGTAAGCACTATAAGGCTTGTGTTATGGGATACTAGGGTAACGGATAGAATACATATACTGTACATATATAAGTATATTTATATAGAAAATACATATTAAACATCCATGACTGGAGTACAAATGCTCGTATTCATCACTCAAACATCTGCCCCCTCCGGGATTTGAACCAAGGACCTCTCGAATCGGCGACACCATGAAACCCGGCGTACAAACCACTCGGCCACGGAGGTCGTTATTTATAGACAGCCAAAGATCAAGTTAGCCGAAAGTGACAAATATCTGATAAAGATATTTAAATAGATTAAAGGCCTGTTTCACCATCGATGAGTGAAGTTCTAAGTAAGCTACTACGACCATTAAAGTGCTTTTAGACTACGCTATATATAGCAGGCTCAACTTAGACTTGCACAGAGTCGAAGCGACGGGACGCGTCATGTATTTAGGCTTGGAAATATATTAACTAGGGGAATTTGCTATAGGCGAACATAAAATCTGGTATTAATGTATCGCGCGTTGACGCGGGCGTTTGGGCGTCTAATAAATGGGAATACCGTTATGTTGTGAAAATAGAGATGGATTTGCTACAGGTCATTCAGGAGAAAAACATGACGCGTCGCGCCGCTACGATTCCGTGCTAGTATCAGTTGGGCCATAAAGCTTATAACCCATAGCACGATATTGCGCACCATACTTCTACATAGATTACTTCCACATATGTTTGCACAGTAGTATGACGTAGTCAGAACGAAGTTTAATGTTCGGAGTAAGTATGTAAGCACATACAAGACTTAGAACTTTATTTATCGATTGTGAAAGAGGCCCTTGAGATTCGAATATTAATATTCGGACGTTCGGATTTTTTATCAAAATCCACTTTCCTACACAGTAAGTGCCCACAATATGTAAAAACCCGTTTTTCAATAAAGGCCTCCATTCCCAATTTAGCGAAACCGTAAAACCTAGTAAGTGCAAGTCAGTCAGTGCACAAACTAAACCTAAATCAGCAGCCCAAAAACACAGCAAGACACACATATACTTACCGTGTGTTTGGATTGGGAATTGACACTTGTTAGGTTTTTACAAAATTTGTGATTTAGCATGTACAAAAAACCGTAATATCTACAAATTACACAGTATAGCATACACCCGTCGGAGCTTCTTCATGAATTAAGTTTTAAATTAGTGAGAGGACATGGAATTGGCGTTATCCGTTCCGGGAGAGGTGCGGAGCGTCTCATGTTAATGGCCATGGTTACTGTTGCATTTAATTTCAAATTTAGTGTCATCAAACGTACACCCAACTGTATTTTTTAAACTTTGAATATACAAAAATGTAGAAAGTAATCTTATCTACCATTTCCAAGAGTCATATTGAGCTTTAGATTCTTAGTTTCAATTTTTTTTTAAATCGTTATATTCTTCTCAATTATCTTGCTTTTCTGTAAAATTTATTGGAAATCCGTAACTGTGTTTTTGATTTAGGACAGCCGCGTGATCTTAACTCGTGCTTTATACCCATTCAAAAGTATTTTGCTAAACTTTTGTTGCATGTTGACTCATCGGCTAATTCTTTTGACAGAGGACGGCGAGTACATGTCTTTCGGCATTTCGGGCGATGCTGACCACTCACAGATGGTGGGCGGCGACGTGGCGGTGGCCTGGGTGGACAAGGAGACCCTCAAGGGATACGCGGTGGACTACTACCTGGATGCCAAGAGTCAGTGCGCGGGAGTCAGGGGATCCTGCCCTGATGAGAGGCTTGGGGTAATAACGGAGACACTCTAGCACAGGGGATTCGGCTAAACTGTACTTTTTGAGCCCGGGAGTTGACACTTCACATTAGGTTAGGTTAGTGTGGTGACCATGATGCGCATGCCGAGCGAGCGAAGCGGGCCATATAAGTACAGTTTTACCTTATTTCAAGGTTTTTTAGGGTTCCGTACCTCAAAAGGAAAAAACGGCAACCCTTATAGGATCACTTTGTTGTCCGTCCGTCCGTCTGTCAAAACCGTTTTACTCAGGAACGCGTGGAGGCAATAAACTGAAATTCATATCTAATACTCAAGTCTACTGTCCCTGGGAGCTGTGAAAAAAACAAACTTCTAAGCCAAAGCAACCAAAAGATACAGCCACTATGCCGCAAATTTTCGAAACTCGCACGGGAATCAAAACCTACAGGGTACTTCCCGTGAACTTAGAATCTTGAAATATGGTACGAAATAACGTGTTATAGTACAGATAAAGAAAAAATTGCGAAAACCGTAAATTTTTAGTTAAATCATTAAAAAATATTTTTTAATAATTATTAAAATATACCTACAGATTTATACGGAACCCTCGGTGCGCGAGTCCGACTCGCACTTGACCAGTTTTTTTATCCATGGGGCCATTCAATCAAACTAACAACAAAATAAGAAAAAAAATATTCAACACTAGTGGGGGACGGACTAGAGAGAGTATGTTTTTTTTTTATTTTTCGGGTTAATACATAACCTATGATACAAATAACGTTTAGTAGATCCAGAGATTACTCGCTACAACGTCACAAACTGCCTATTTAAAATATAAGTTTAAATGATGAATACCACATTTCCTACGATTCCTGGAATTAAAACTCCTGTAGCTAGATATTCACCAAGCACTGCAAAAAAGGCAATATGCAACTTTGTACGTTTATATTATTATGCTTTTATGATTAGTTATTACGATTGTATTTGAAAGCCTTTATGTTTTACAAGGTATATCAGGTAAGTGCACAGATAGCGCGTCTACTAAACTTCTGTTTTGATGGTTGTTGTATTGCTCATTACCGTGTAGCACCTGGGAACAACTTACCGATGGTAATCAGCCGAAAGAGCGTTGGCTGCAATTTGTATAACGTTTCCGGGAAGTGCTAAAATAAAAACTCATCGGAGAGTAGGTGTTTGACGCGACCGGCGTATTTTGCTTCTGTCTACGTTCTTGTTTGTTAGGTAACTCGATCGATTTTTTTTAACGCTACTGCTTTCTACTGGAATATTGTTTCCCGATAGAGAAAAGGCAGAAGAAAATATTTGTTTTATGGGCGAACAATTTTTTAATAAATTAAATACGTTTAAACGCTCTTCCTGTGGTAATGATGACAGCTAGTGTCAAAATTTGATTGGAAAGGATTGTTTAAGTTTGGTGTATAAGAAATCACCCGTTTATTAAATAGGGTAAGCGATACAAATAAGGCCTACCTAATTTCAAACACTCATATCATGATAAATTATTCGAAGAAGGTGATAAATAAAAGCAAGGCATTATTACTTAGTTCATAAATTTTAAATAATTAAGAAAACATAGTACAATTTATTATCAGAAATCACTTAAAAAGAGCTAATTCTGGAACCTTAGCCTTGGGTATTTTAAAAACATAGTGACTTAACAAAGCCTATGTACTTAAATTATAGCAATATTGTTATTAGAGCATAAATTATATTAAAATATGTATTTATGAGCCTTTAATCAAGTGTTTCCATGGGATCCTTGAACAACATTCTAATTTATTTTACTAAATATTTTGCTTAAATTGGACCGCGTGAATTTTTTTCTAGTTATATTTTCTTTAGATTTAAACATCAAGCAGTCACATGCTTAAGGAATAAAAATTATAAAAAAATAGCAAATTACTATATCCACTCGTAAATATTATAAAATATTGGAAAATGAATATATTTTGATAGATATATTTGATAAAAATAAGGCCTTTTATAAAAGTAGGCTTTATTTAGTACATTTTACTTTATAAAAGTTATAAGTAGTATTTAATTCGCATATTGTAAAAAGTTAAATTTTTAGTCATAGTCAACCTTTTCATTAGTTATATTGTGATCCGTATACATTACATGAAAGAAAACTTCAAAGAATGACGTATTAAAATTTGTTAAAGATTACGACAAATTAATAACGCGCTATGAAAAGCTCGTCCTTTACAAAGTACCGCCACTACTAACGATATGAGCTCGAGCGGACCGCTCGTGCACAGTTTGTCGAGTTGTAGAACTGTCATCTATGCGTATGTAAAGTATTTTTGAAGTAAACATATTTTAATAGACTTTTCTGCATTACAGGCCTTATTTCAGCATATACCTTATTTGTATCAGGTACCTTATTATTACTTATAATAAGTATAGTATTTTTATCTAGATATACCAACTTAAAGGTCATCATACCACAATTAATAAATTTGAATTAATTTCTGAATTCTATTCATCACGGTATTTTGCCATTGATCAAAAGATCTACTACTGACGGAAAGGGGATTGAATCCAGAACATGAGAAATGAAGATACTCGACCACAGCGATTGTCAATTTTATATACACACATCAAAAGTGTCTAGGGATCAAGCATTTTTATGCGGATTTCTTGAGATTGAGATGTGGCTTTGTAATAAATTTATGATTTTATAAATTTATATGGATCCTTTTTGGTGCATTTCATAATTTGAATCAGGAACTGTGAATCAAATTCGAGTAAAAGATGAAAATCAGCTGTCAATATTTTCCCTATAAAAACATACAACGCATTGAAGACATTATTAGTGCTACTGTTTCCCTACTACTGATTAAAACCAACGTTATTATGGAGCGGCGACGTCATTTAAGCAGGGAAGAAATGCTCAGAGCCGTGGGAATGATAGAAGCTGGTTCCCGGCAACGTACTGTGGCTTTAGCTCTGAATACAAGTCAGAGTGTTATCAGTCGACTTTGGACACGATACCGAAGCACTGGTACCGTGGCTGAGCGCCATGGAGGACGGTATCGCTGCACCACACGGAGACAAGACCGATACATTCAAATCTTAACTCAAAGAGCTCCAACAATAACCGCCATGATGTTAGCCGTGAGGCTTCATCACTCTTCAGGGAACTTAATTAGCGACCAAACAGTCAGAAACCGCTTGCATGAAGTGAACCTTCATTCCCGAAGACCGCTACGGGTACCACCTATAGCAATGCACAATCGTAGGATTCGATATCAATGGGCTCTTGAACACAGAAATTGGGCAGAAGAACAATGGCGTTTCGTGTGCTTTTCTGATGAGTCTCGTTTTGGTATGAGACCGGATACAAGACGTATACGACACTGGAGAACCCCTGGACGCCAACAGCGATTAAAATCCTGCCAGGAAGTCCATCCTTATAGTGGTGGAACCATCATGGTATGGGCGGGTATTTGGATCGGCGGAAGAACTGAGTTGATTTGGATCAGAGGCAACCTCAACGCTCAAATTTATGCTGAGACGATTGTATCAGACGTCATCGTTCCTCTACAAGTGCAAATCGGTCCCTTATTTCAGTTAATGCATGATAATGCACGACCGCACACCGCAAGAGTTGTAAGACAGACTCTCGCCGCAGCTAACATCAATGTCCTGCCCTGGCCTGCTCAGTCGCTAGACTTGAACCCGATTGAGCATGCATGGGATATGCTACAGAGAAGAGCTCTGCCGAATATGGAGGGTATCCAGTCGCAAGAAGACCTTTTTTTGTTGTAGCAACGAACATGGGCGGCCATTCCACAGCGTGATTTGGATGAACTCATTTTGAGTATGCCAAACCGATGTTCTTGTGTTGTTAGTGTTCGCGGTAGAAATACGGATTATTAATTGTTTAAGTTACCCAATAAAATTTTAGAGAAAACTGTTATTTCAGTCTTTTTTTCGAACTTTTGTGTTAGTGGTTCAAATGTCAAAAATCCCTTTATTAGGAAAATGGCAAATTTCTTTATTAATGCAAAGGTGACTTGGTTTATCGTTACTGTGACAAACGAAAACACTTTATTTGATGAATCCTTAAAGAAAATTTTAATTAATATCAATCAGGAGAAAAGTTATTGCAAAAATATATGTTGATCCCTAGACACTTTTGATGTGTGTATATCTAAAAACTTCAGTACTTAGTTTTCTCAACTCGGTTCAGGTTTCAGACGGGTTTTAACTTACTAAAATTTTCTTTAGATTTAAAAATGTAGCAGTTAAATGCTTAAAATAAAAATAGGAACTATATTCTATTCATTCCTTGTTCAGGAGAAGACCAATTCAGTCCGATTGCTCAACGCTGCGCTTGTGAATGGTTACTCCATTGTGACGTATCAGCGAGCATTGAAAGCATCCGACGAGCTGGACAGGCCCGTGTTCACCAACGGCACCCAGCCCATCATCTGGGCGCTTGGACCGCTTAACTCTAGGAACGAAGTCTCTTACCATCATCATTTCACTAAGGTAAATATTTAAACTTAGTTTTCTGGAGAAGATGTGGCGGTTTATAAATTTTTTATGACTTATCTTTTGAAGTATTTCCAGAAAAAATCTAAAGTTTTTTAATGGCCTTTAATGCTGAATGTACTGTTTTTTTTTTTACCTTAATGTGTTGGCAATGTATAAAAACAAATTTTCAGGGCGACAAGTTCATTGAATTTGGACGTCCCCCAGTGTGGAACTGCCCTATGCCCGAGAGTGAAGAGGAGCAGAAGGAGCAACCAGTTCCCGAACCGGTGACCAGACCCAGTAGACCAGCGCAGGAACAGGTAAGCAAATCATATTGTCTACTTACAATGCCTACCGTTTTTTTTATTGCAGGTAAGGTATCAAAGAAGCACATTTCACTGGACATACTAACTTAATAAGTTGGAAAATCTCGTAACCGAAACAAACTTCAATTTACAGACTTATAATAAATGATCACTTGACCCTATATCGATAGAGTTTTAGTGAGATTTTGCGGTTTGTTTTGCACAGACAGCAGTTATCAAGCCAAACCCGGTTCCGACACCGAAGCCGGTGCCGAAAGCGGTACCCTGGGAGATCCCCGCCATCCAATGTTACGAGCCGCCAGATGGCGTGTTCTACGCGCAGATGGGACCAACCGGGGGCAAGCAAGGCTATTCCGCTATCACTGGTAAGCAGATCATTCAAGCTATTTCAGAAGCCCATGCACGGATTTTGACAGCTCCATAACGTATCGCATCGTCAAAGCTACTATAGAAACTAAGCAGCGCCCCTATCGGAGGTAGGAACAAAGTAGCTTTTTCAATTAAAAATTTGGCGATGGAGATGCGATATGGAGCACTATAAAATTCGTGCTTGGACTTCTGTTTCAGCGATTCCACCTTGTAGGGTTACTTTACGTATTAAAATAATTTTATTTCAATATCATTACGGACTGAATTCTCTTTATGAGCTACTTGGCCTATACCAAACAGACACCGGTACTCCATGGTTGTAGCTATTTTATTTAATATAAACAAAATATTTTTAACAAACGTCTAATGTATAGAAGACATAATATTAAAACATTCGAATACGTGCGCTTTTTGTTCATAAATTTAACGTGCTTCAGAATTAGAAATTCCCTTATCAACAAGGCAAGATTCTTAAAATTCTATTAAGGATCTTGTCTGTTTGATGCGGGATACGTCCAAAGTGGAAATTACTTAGTTAATTATTGACTAGGCTTCTAAAACGATGTTTTCTTCCTATCAGGTCACGTGGGTTGGGGAATATCGTGGTACATTAACGGGCTGCTCATCCCCGAGATCAATGTAGTGCGCGGGCGCCGATACACGTTCGTGACTGAGGGCGGTGCTGACCCGGGCGTGCCAGCGCGCTACCATCCTTTCTACATTACTGATGACCCCGTAGGAGGGTACTATCACAAGAACGATGAGGAAAAGAAGGTCGGTAATATTAATAAAGGAGGTGGAACACACCAAACTTTGTGATTGTATGTTGACATAGTGAAATAGCAGTAGTAACTTTAGATTGCGCACTCCGTTATAAAGAAGTAAGTACACCGGTTCTTAAGGTGTCTGCATCTATTCTGAGGTCCGATTCCTTCTATATCACCGATGACCCCGTGGGAGGGTACAAGACTGTTTAGAAAAACAAGGTTTATATAATTAAATGAGGTAGAATATCCAGATTAGTAGACTAAATTAGCTACAATATCTCTCTCTAATAACTATCTCTGTAGACCCAATAGTTTCCGAATAAATGCCTTCCCAAAGTTTTAATCCAGTTCATTTTAAAAAAGTCGTTAGTCAAAACTAAACTAGGGTTATAATTTCCAAAATCTGAAAAAAGACTAAACACACTTTTTTAGGTTTTTTGCGTTTGGTGTTCGAGGTCATAAACTTGGATTATTCATTGGGCTAACTACTTATAGAAATCTGAAATAGGTACCGGATTTAATGCAAACCCCGTACCCCGTATTTAAAAACGTCAATTTAACTGAACTAATAATAAATTTTCAATACGGTTATTTGAATAAAGTCTGTTTTCATTTCATTTGGTTGTAGTTGTGTTTCTGTTAGTAGGTTAGTTTTCATAACTCTACGGGGCTAGGGATGGGGGTAAGGTAGCATAATAATGGCCTATGCTAAGCAGCTATCTTATACTATAGACATTTTGAATTACGACATTCATTATCACTTGCGTGTTGCCTGCCTTACAATAATATATACATATAGAGAAGACACCATCAAAAACAAATCTTATTACCTTAACCTTAATATTTATACGATATTTATTTACTAATCAGGCTGTGAAAATCTTTGCTGGTGTACGTCGGTCGCGTAATGGCGAACTTATCCCTACCGGCGTTGGCCGCCTCTGCAACTGGACCCCCGACACTTCAGGACCTGAAGCTGATGAATACCCGTCCTTCGGAGCCTACCAGAGGTCATTGACCCTGGTTTGCGAGGAAGGCAACCCTGGCGTCGTCACATGGACCCCTGACAAGAACACTCCGGATACAGTCTATTATCAGGTATTATTGCGTTTGGTAAGCTGAGCATTATTGACTCAAGGACCTGATGATTTGCAAGAACTCTTTCTTCCTAAGGAAACAGACAGGAATAATAAAGGCGTAAAAATCCGTTAATGATGTATTTATTACATTAAGTATTAACTGGTTAATATTTATCATGATGGACAGCGAAGTAATTTAGCTTGATTACAGCGTGATATTTAGGCCGAATTGCATTTTTCAAGTTTTTTTCTCATCAGGTATAATAATCAAGCAATTTAATGCTTTGTTAAAAATAAAACTGTGGATATCGTTCAGATAGGTCGGATTTCTGCAGAAGCTTAGGAGCTATGTAATTTTAAAATAATATTTACTAATATAAATATTTAGTATATATCTTTAACTGTAATTAAAATAAAAGAAGAAATTGAATATATTTTTTCGAATGGCTTCGTTTACTTAAATACCAATAACAACGATCAAAATTTTCAATTATTTAGATAACAATTTTATAGAATACCTATTTTCAACATGTTTACTTTATTTATTAGATTGCACCGATATTACACTATATCTAGATTCTTCACCTATCTATTTTAATTTCCACACATTTCTTACATAACCATTTCAACTTTAAAATGTTTACATAAAAATCATTTTCCTACGGGTAAACCTACTTAATTTTACACTCTATGTAAATAATCTATACTATCTGTTTTCTGTTTCAGCTTTCCAAGCCTTCTCTGTTTCGCATGAGATCTCACTTCACAATTTTAATCTGGACGGTGATAGCATTCATTTGACTGTGCTGTTTTTTGTCTTTTACTAACGTGCATTTTCTTTCAGTGCTTCACACATCGTCATCTCGGCTGGAAGATAAACGTGGTTGACGAGTGCGACGCCACCGAGGCGGAAGAGAGCCGCATAGTCGAGAGCGTCCTCCCCCCGGAGGATCTCATCGGCGAAGAATCTATACAGGTACAAAGTCGTGTCACACCAGACAATAACATCTTCGACCGCCGCCACAAAGTCAATGCCGAAGCGAAACCAAATTATAACGATTTCAGTAGAAGTAGCGAGCGGCCCGAGGAGTACGAGTTGCCCGTGTCCAAAGTGCAGATCAAGGAGGTGATCCACGCAGTCGAGAGTCTGGAGAGCGAGATGCGAGATGAGATGAGGAGGAACCAGACCAGAGTTCCCACGCAGTACAAAGTTCATGAGAACGTAGACGAAACATTCGTACCAGAACGGCCTTTGAGAGAAGGAGATGAATATGTGGTCGGACGCACTCCTGAAACATTCTTTTTACCGCCCAACCAACAACCTTTAACGCTACAGTCAGTTTTACGGCCGAACCCAATGGGAAAACCAGGCCCTAGACCACCGTTTAGACGTCCGCTACCACCAGAAATCAAACTGCGGCGTCCACCGTCCGGATACCAAAAAGGAAGTAACGGGTACCCATTACCGATGCCCGGATCTCATAACTCACATGGAATGAAAAAACCTCCGATGAAACATCCCGGAAGAATGCCAATCGGTCCTGTGCGCCTACCACCTGGAGTGCCGCCAGTGAAAACGATGCCACCATTCCAACATCATAAGCCAGGACCGATGAAATATAACCATAAGCCTTCTCACCCTGCTCAGCCTCTACAGCCGCCTCAAGATCCACAGACGCAATCATCAATAGTTGTAGGCAAGCCAAGTAATGGAGGACCGTCTCTAGCTGCTACTCTTAATCTTGGCCAAACTGATATCATAATGAATCAAGTAGTAAGAAGTCAAATTACTTTACCAGGTCTGGGTGATGCAATCACTCAGCAGAGCGTTCCGCAGACGTATGTTAGCCGGCCAAGTCAAGGTCAGATCATATTAGGCAAACCAATGGATCATCCCTTACCTCTTGATCAACAAATGACTCATACTAAACATCAAACCATATTCACACCACCATCACCAACATTTCAATCTCCACAGCCACCTAAGCAAAATACAAAGGTTGACAATGATCGAGTTCAATCACAGAATGATATAAAATCATCTGATTTCATGGGAGAGTCAATGGAATCCTCAACACACCCAGCTTTTCCAGCTGTAAACACTGGCTTTAAGCCGGATTCAATTGTAGTCGAGAGTGGCTTTAAACCCATCATTAGAGAACCATTAATGGCTGCAGAGGATAGAATAGCTACTAGTGAAGACCAAGGTGCTAATAGACGCGAAGATACTGATGTAGAAGAAGACTATGACGAGTCACCCCAGTACATCAATCACGTATATGATCGAAAACCAAGTGATAAGATCACAGAAACTTTTGAGCCGATGTTCGTACCCTCCCCTCCTGATCATTTGATTCCAACGGATGACAGAACAAGGGAAGTATTTCCAAGTAACCATGCCAAAGAAGATAGACCACACCCCGTATACGTAAAGACCGAAGAACAACTAAACGCACTATTTAGCAACAAAAATATGGATAAAGAGGTTCCATCGGATATGGTTATGGAATCAAATAGAGTCAGTCCACAATATTTACCACCTGATCCAAAATTACCAAAAGAACATTCTCAAAAGTTAGCGTTGAATCAAGAAACATTCACAACTTATGATGGTAAAACTGTTTCCGCCGCTACCCTTACTAACATCCCTGAAATTAAAGATAATACTAAAGTTTTCTCATCAAAGCTACCTGCCAGTTCAGAATTTCTGCTAAAAACACCACAATTCGGGCCATTCAAGGGTGCTATACCTCCCATCGTAAGTGCACATATCAGTACAGAAACTGCTAAGGAGCTCACTCCACCATCACTTGAAACTCGAAAAACACATCTGAAACTGGTTAATTCTTACAACAAAGAAAGTGAATCGAAAGGAGACGACTTGCAACCTGAGGGGAGTGAGAAACACGAAGTGAAAAGTGAAGAACAAGAATATGAGGAAGAAGAAGAAGTAGATGAAGAATACGAAGACGAAGAAAGAGCTATGAGAAAGAAAAGAGATACAAAAGTTACTCAGTTTGAAAAAGGCACAGTGGAAGAACAAACGACAAAGGAGTATAGCACTTCTAGTGACCTTGTAGGTCACGAATGGTCTTCATCATCATCTAGTAAATTTTCCATACATTGGAATCTTCTACTACTTGCTACGCTCTTAAAACTCTTTTGAAATATGAGTTTAAGTAACTTATTTATTGTGTAAACGTAAGCCTTGCCATTAAATGCATTTCGTGTTGTTTGCTAGGGGTGATGGCTGTGGGTTTCGAGTTTCCCTCGTTGCGGTTGGTGTCTCCTTCGATAATATATTCTAATCACTCCTGTTACCACTTTGTCACACGTTGAATGCAATTCAATACTCCGTTAGATTTAAGATGTTTGTAAATATGTTTTTCTATTAATAAATAAGTTTATTTTTATCTCTTCTCTTTTATTCTGACTTCTGTTACAAAATAATTATGATATCCAATCTAGGTATTTAAAGTTGCATCTCAGCTAGCTAGCTTTTTTAATTTTTGGCTGCCTTTACAAGTGTTGTAGATCCATTATGAACTTCCATCCAGTTGCAATGGTGAAGTTGATATAAGATATTTTTATGTAAAGATGGTTGGCAAACATACATATTGTAGTCTACCTGGTTGTACGTGGTCCTCACAGCCTTAGACGCCTGTAATACCAGAAAATGTCACTCACGTGTTGCCTGCCTTGTCTATGTCCTGTACCCCGTGAAGTTTAGGTCTTCATCTTCCCATTATTTAAAAATAGCGTGTACGTTGTAAATTTTTTTGGTGAGCCTTGTGAAGTTGGCGAGAGCTTTCTCGTGTGGATAAGTGCTATCCACCAGCCGAAGGACTGAGTCTCGGCTGCGGCCACTGGAAAGGAAATCGGAAATTTATCATTATCAGTATTTATCAGCCTATTAATGTTTCTACTGTGGGGCATAGGCCTTTCCACTGGATATAATAGAGAGAACGGGCAATATTGAGGCCTTTGCATATTGGTGAGTGCTAACGACTGCAGATGTAGCTATGACTAGCGGCTTAAAGTAACTTCCAAATGCAGAATTTGTTGCCATCTCTCTGGAAAATTCTGGTATTTATTTTGAAAGAAGACAATAAACAACGAGAACACATAACGATGTTTGTAATACTGTGCAATACTAAGTAATTAAGTTGAAAGTTATTTACTGCCTGTTCTTGAGTAACCTAGCGACTGATGTCAGGGGCAGGCCTGCGAGGTCCCTAATCCCAGGATCACTCCCGCGCAACATCAGTTCATCCACCACAGCCGTCGACGCACCCTGGCACACTGGATACAAATACACATTAAACATGAATTACCAGGATTATAAACTTCATTCAAAATCCAAAAACATTATATCCTAATGAATATAGAGTTTTAAAGTCAGGTGAAGTTAGAAGCCATGAATGCCCGGGGGCGTGTATGAAAAAAGTTATGAATGCAAAGTAAGAGAGAGGTATTTGTACTGCGTGTTGTGGCGTTCTACTCTTTTTGCCCGAATCAGAACATAACGTACGCGCGCGTGTGTGTGTGTGTATGGTTGTTAAAGAGTTGAAAAATAAATCACCAAGAAATATAAAATATATTAGTACAGTCAATATGTCGAAAAAAAATCGTTTCAGTGAAAAAAAAAAACCTAAAGGGTAAGTCTTGTTTTTTCTGTTGCCAAATGACGTCAGTAAGCCACCTTGGCGATGGGCATGTTCAACTCGTAGGCGTTTTTTGAAAAACTCAAAAAAAAACCAACCCATTTTAACCCACAAAAAATGCGCATTGTAGGTGGCGCTAAAGTCTCAAAAAAGTGTTTTTTCACTTTTCACCCTGAAAATATAATTTTAATGGAAAACTTTAAATGGAAAAGTTGTTCCGTACATAATTTAAATAACCAACAACTTTGTAAATTACTTACAGTTTTCAAGTTACAGTGCAATACAGCGCTACGTATATAACACAGTGCTACTAACGGTAATTTTTTCGGTCCTATGGAGACTTGATAAGAAATGATATATTATATATTCAGTTCTGCAACATCACCTATTAACATACCTTTCGATATTTTGATATATGTATACATTTAGCAATAAACATTTGATTTCTGATGTTAGTTAGAAATTGTACTAATTTACCTTATCAAATATATCTGTATAAATTTTAAAATTCTTACAATAACAAGCTTTTTGATTTATTTGCTATAACGATTACAATTGTTTATAAAAACATGTTGTTTTAAATTCATATCCTTGGAGTTAAACTTTATTATTAAACTTTGAAGCGATTATCATGTATTAATTCAAGTTGCACATCTGAAATATTTTTTTTCCAAATGTTGCTCGGACGCATTAACAGCAGGAAATAAATTAATAATAATTTAGAATTTTTATCTCATATGTTCGAAAAAATAATCATTATTCTATCAACTACTTTTGTTCCTGCAATTAATTCATGCAAGAAAATGAATCCAAAGCTCTAATTGTTGATATTTCATGTCAATAACAAATCAAAATTATTACAATCATGAAAAAAAAAATAGTAAAACGTACATTGAAATGTGCACTGCAAATGTGTACTTGAACTGCCCAAAACCGCTCTATTGGATTTTTCATACCTGCGCAATTTATAACTTGAAAACGGTAAGTAATACAAAAAAAATATTTATACAAAAGTTGTTGGTAATTATGTACGGAACAACTTTTCCATTTAAAGTTTTCCATTAAAATGATATTTTCAGGGTGAAAAAGTGAAAAAACACTTTCTTTGAGACTTTAGCGCCACCTACAATGCGTATTTTTTGTTGTACGAGATTGCGACAATGACATAAATTGTAGTACTCAACGCCCTCTACAATTAAAAAGTTTCTAAAATGCATACAAAACAAGAAAAATGCGTTTCAAAAAACTTTTGAGGGCTTTTTTGAGTTTTTCAAAAAACGCCTACGAGTTGAACATGCCCATCGCCAAGGTGGCTTACTGACGTCATTTGGCAACAGAAAAAACAAGACTTACCCTTTAGGTTTTTTTTTCACCACTCAACCTACAGATTGACTGTACTATATGTATAAAGATGTAGCTAACTAAATTATGTATGTATATTAAAATACATACATATTTTAGTAAAAATTTTAGTAAAATCAAAAAGCTAGCTAGCTTTATGGTGATATTTTTTCAATTTACCTGGGAAACTTTGAAATTGATCCATTGATATTCAGAACACAACACTACAGAAAACTATACTTCAGATAATAAAGCATACCAATCTTTCCTAAATCCTTACAAGCTCTAAATAGTGGCGTCCAGCCGTTGTTGTCTATAGCTGTGACGTCACCACCCTTATCCAGCACAAGTCTCAGCGTTTCCAGGTCGCAGGAGTCTACAGCATAGTGCTCCACCTGCAGTCCATTCACATCACGAGCCTGTGACGATAAATCATAATTGGTAGATGCTCTAGTAGTTGCGACAGTAACAAAGATGCTTTTAAATACCAGTGCTATGAAAAAGTATTTATCTCCATAAGTATTAAATTTTAAATTTCTTTTGCTCGGTACATGTTTTTAGGTTTCCCCCATAGGAATTTTCCCCCTTCGATAATATCGGATGCATTATTTCGATATCTTTAGTAAAGTATAAAAAGTAACCGAAAACCTTGAAATCTGCCCCTATCTCTAGCAATAACTCCACTATGTTAGGATGCCTGCCCAGCACTGCCAGGTGGAGAGCCGTCTGTCCAGCAGACGATCGCTGCTCTATTTCGGCTCCAGCTGACAGTAGACACTTCACCATGTTGATGTCACCTGTAAAATACCCCATGATACAAATGAATCAAATAAGGTTGCGAACTGTTGAGTATTAAGAGAGGCAGCACTTTTTTCGCTCGAATTGGAGCGCCACATTGGGGAACGAACCTCCGCCTTAGAAAACCACAGTAAAATAACTCTACCTTTTGGTGGTGTTCTGTTTTTTATCGGTGAGTGGGGTTTCAGGGCTCCACAAGGATTGAGTCAGGGTAGGCAGCGACGCGAGTGATATTTTTGGTATTACAAGCGCTTTTAGGCAATGGTGGGCGCTTACCATCTGGCGGGCTCTATGCTTGTTTGCCACCCTTTTAAAATAAAAAAGGCAAATGACGATGAAGATAATACGTGAACAATCAGGTCTTATTTTATTTGTTAAGTTTATATCCGGAATGGTGTCCCAGTGGCACAAGTTTACCCCTATATTCAGAAAACTCAGAGTGAACGGCCGATAGTCTTCCTTGTGTGCCTGGTCTTGTTCGGTGGTTGCTAAGCACAGCAAAATGCAGCCTGGATCAACAGCATAATGTGTTTCCCAAGCAAGGAGGACCTCGATTTGAAACATTATTAGGGTTCCGTACCTCGAAAGACTTACATCATTGTCATTTCGTCGCCGAGGAACGCGTGTAACTATTAAGCTAAAATTAATTAAAAGTACTCTGGTCGGCGTCGTGTTCAATAGCGAAGTGGTTAGAATGTTCGATAGGGCTGGTCATAGGATGGGGGACCAAATATTTACTATCTCGAGTTCCATCGTGCTTCGGAAGTCAATTAAGCCATCGGTCGCAACTGCGTCTGTATTCGTTAGCACCCATCAATCGGCACTGGGACTGTGTATTGGGTAATGGCCTAATCTGCATCCCATTCATAGGGAATGCCTGTGCCCCAGCAATGGGGATATTAATAGGTGACGATGACTCAAGTTTGCAATCCCTTTGAGCAATAGAAATTCAAATTGTCAAGTCGACTCAGTCAAAAGGTACGGGAATCTAAAAAACAGAGCGTGTTTGAAATATGAAAAGGTACATTTACATTAAAATTTCGTAAGAAATAATAGGTATTTGTGGAAGATATTAAAAATCCAAAAGACAGTTTCATAATTTTAGGCAAAAATTATTAGGTTAAGCAAAAAAAATGTTAATACAAAAGTTTTAGATTTTTCAATTATATCCACAATCTTGTTCGATGAGGATTTTAGTTTTCCCGAAAATCGCCTTAAAAGGTCTCCCCCCACCCTTCAAAGCCTCAAAACACCCGTAATTTCTTAATTATTTCTCTTTTTTTATGTGTTCTCTTCCTTTTTGAAATGGGTTACATTCTGAATTTTTTCATTCTGAAAAATTAATCGGCCTAGTTATAAACTGTAAGAATAATAACGCCTAGAAACCTTACGTGCAATGGCATGTTGAGTCGAATAAAACCCCTTGAAAATTCTGAGCAAAAAATAACTATTAAACAGATTATTTCTGCGTATTCAATGTACCTACATTGAATATTTTGTAGATTCATGTTAAGTGAATGTAATTAAGTACATTGAGTGAGTATATTGAGAAACTGCCGAATATTTCTAGCAGTGGCAGTGTAATGCATTGTACTGCCACCTTGCGAGAGGCTTAAAAGCTTCTTTTGAGTCTCACTGGCAAGGCACAGCGTTTGTGGATCTGAAGCGTACAAGAATATGATGTTATAAAAGGGCAGATCAAATTGATTCTACTGGGATATTGTTACCAGTCTGATTTTATATGTAATGGAAGACTGCTTAATCTGATAATAATAAGTATATAAATATTATTTGTATAATAGACCGAGTTAATTAAATTAATAACCTTTATTTTATTGTCATTTCGATTTTGTAGGAACTCGCATAATTATTTAGACAATGGCGATGATATTGCTCAATCTTAATGTTACTGATTTTTTTCTGGTCTTGTTATGGCCTTAGCATTATTCTAACCGAATCTAGTGTGAACCTAAGAATATTTATAAAATGTCAACAATTGTTTCGAAATCTTACCAAGGCGATTCGCGTATTCGCAAAAATACAATCTTATTCCAGTAAGATTGAGAAATGTAATCGCCATAGTCTAATTATCCGGCATATTATGCTACTCGTAAATAATTAGTTTAGTAAAGAACTAAAAATATACCTAAGTGACAAAAAATACTTCTTTATTAACATTTTATTAACTGAGACATGAAAAAAAAACGCTGGGTGCGTTTAATTGTACAATCGCTGCACTGGTTTTGAATAGGGACATGATATCGAATGGAAAGTATCGATACTGTACTCATGAGTAGTATCGGAAAAAAAGTATCGTATTCGTATAAGAATTGAAACAAAAGTATCGCTACTTCGAAGTATTGAATACATTTCATAGGGCCATATGAGCACCCCCCCCCCCTCCCTCCCCTCGGGTTAAAATTAAAAGAAAAACAATCAAATTTTATTATAGTACGTATAATCAAAAACAAAAAAGGACATGTAAATTCACGATTTTCTATATTATGTAGATACTCTTAAAAATGTGAAATGTTAATATAATCAACTGCAAAACTAAACGTGCGTAATTCAAGTACGTAAGTCTCAGGACTATATGTAGCAATCTAGTGTAGATTGCTTGTGCTTCCAATTATATCAACGCAATGGAATGTTTTAGATGCCACTAGATGGCGTTGCCATCAATATCCAAATTTTTAGAGGTATCGATACTTACCAAAAAGTACTCATTAGTTGAAGTATCGAAAACCAAGTATCGAGTACAAAAGTATCGGTATCGAAAGGAAAAGTACTCTATACCACAAAGTATCGATACTTTTTTCGTGTCCCTAGTTTTGAATGCGACTTTCCGCAATCATGATGCACGCACTAAAGAACTACTCTTTATATTAAGAACGTTTCTATAAATATTCGGCGACGACGGTGTTTTTTATCCGACTGCGCAATGCAAGAGCGCTAAGCGCGACGCGCAGACATAGTATAGTGTTTAACAGTCTATATATGTATGTTTGTTCCTTTGTGGCACACTAGAGACCAAACGCCTGGACCGATTTTGATGATTCATACATCAATCGATTCGTCTCAATCATGGGAGTGCTACTAAAGATATGATAGTAATCAAAATTCAATATGGACAAAATTAGGCGCCATATTGTGACGAAGTAAAAAAAATAAGTTGACAAAATATGTCGAGTGGGGTATCACTGTCTAGATAATCAAAAATCATGTTTAGGTTTCTAACACCATTTTTCACCATATGATTGTTTAGGATCTACAACGCTTTAAAGTTGTTTGTTTAACCACTTGCGCTTTTAATTTCAATTTTACGTTTGTATGGATCTTTATAACTCTTTCACCTAAATAATACTGAATGGATTTTAATGAAACTTAACAGTAATAAAGCTCATATATGATAATAACATATATATAATAATTTATGTAGTTATTGAGTGAATTGGTCAAAATATAACAATAAGTGTCACATAAGACGGAAAAAATCTCCCATCTGCGAGCCATTTTGGCCTGCACTGCAAAAACAAAAAAAGTTACATGAATGTTATGTAGAGTGAAAATGTATCTCTTAAATAGTTCAAAAAAAGTCCGTGACACCATATAGGTATATATTTTTAATGTGTAAGCCATTACCGCTAAAATAGTGAATCAAAACTAAAATATTATTTGATATCTATTTCCAAAATGGACTTTTTGTATTAACAAATTATTTTTTGTCATAACAAATACTTTTATCTCTTTTGATATTTAAAGACGATAAACTTTGCCTTTTTTACAAATATTTAAAAAGTTACAACGATGACAAAGTGATAGCGCGGTGTGTGTACTATGTAGGAGTAGACTGCGGGAATACTAAGAGAAGAAATGTAATTTAGGTGTTTATAAACGTGGATAAAAACCTAGGCGAAAAAGGAAAAAAATGGTCTACTCGCAGTATCTGATCCTATACGAAGTACTTACAATAAAACTGTGATACAGTTCCTTCTTATTAAATGATGAAAATAAATTATCATAATAGGTATTTAAGATTTTTGAATTTTAAATAATTATACTGTTTTTTTTTAACGATATTACTTAATATTACAAAAAAGGTTTACTTAATATAATGACAAATAACCCATTTTTCGCTAGTAGGTACATACTTATTGGAATCCCTGTAATTATTAATCAGCTCGCGATAATATTGGTTTTGTAATTATAAACGATAATTCTGCAAAATTCAAAGTTAATAATATAGATTTTTATAGGTAAATCACCCCTTTCATCACCTATAAGTATTGCGATGTTGTAGCTAAGAACCAAGTTCCCATCTACTTCTGTAGGGCAATTCATTATAATCGATTTAGCTATTAGGGCACGGAAGCAAACTCACTTTCGCATCTATAATATTATATTATACTTACTAGTGATCCACCCGGGCATTGTACGGGCCAAATTTATTTTATCGGGTTAAATATAGCCTGTAAAATGTATTTAAATAAAGAAAAATGTAATAATAAAAAATGTAGTGTGTGTACTTCATGATGAATTAATATTTGAAACCGGTTCAGTAGTTTGACAGATTATTTGTTACAAACATACGAATCTTGCCTCTTTATAATATTAGTATAGATAGTTAGGATAATAGTATTTAATTGATGAAAAAGATTAAAAAATAAAGTAAGTAATAGGTTTATTTCATTATACTTGTAAAAATTACTTAGCATTTGTGCTTATCAGTGATACGTTATTCGGTATTTTTTTATACAAAAAAGAATTTGGAAAATAATTGCCATGATTGCACTATTTGCAATACCTACTAGGCTGGTAGCAGCACGCTTGATAGGTTGAAGTACTGTTCATTCAAGCTTTACACTACCAATAAAAAAGGGTCGATCATAAAGTCTTTGACCTGTTATATGTGAACGCTTTAAAAGAAAACTACAAAGATAACTATACATTGATAATAAATAAGATTGCTATGGTGCTCTACCTTCATCATCATCATCATCAGCCTATTAATTGTCCCCACTGCTGGGGCACAGGCCTTCCCTATGGATGGAAAAGGGAGATTGGGCCATGACCCACCACGCGGGCCCAGTGCGGGTTGGTGGGTGCTAACGACTGCAGATGCAGCCGGGACCAACGGCTTAACGTGCCTTCCGAAGCACGGAGGAGCTCGAGATAGTAAATTTTCGGTCACCCATCCAATGACCGACCACTGCGAAAGTTGCTTAAATTCAACGATCGCAGCAGAACACGCTAGCCACTTGCGCCATCGTGCTCCTACGGTGCTCTACCTTACGTTATGAAAATTTTATTATGCGCCTTTAGTTTAATCATTTATAAACTTTGCTTTGGTGATTGCATAATTATTTAATTTATCGATCTAAGACAGTTGCCACCATTGTCCACAACAATAGATGGGAATTACTGCTTTCTTCAACCTGCGACATAAACGTCATTGATTGGTATTGTACATAGGTATAGGATGATTAACAACATTTGAAGTTAACTTTTGGCATCTACATATTGGGTTTCTGTGAATTATGTAGGTATATCAAATTATAAGACTAGGATATGACACTGCATTTGTGTATATCACAATCTAAGAGCCGGACGTTGACATGACAATGCAGCCACTGCCAATTTTAAATAGTCGACGAATAAAAGTAAATCAATTTTATATATACTGCTAAACTACTAAAAAGAACATAAACAAAAGATTACTTTTTGAATAAGTGCTAGTTTACTATAAAATTTACACACATTACATATTTATGTAACGACTTGATTTAACTTCACACATTTTTGCGAAAATTGAGGCCCATCTGTAGCCTTGACCCCGCTTAATAAACTAATTAAAAAAATAATTAATTAAATAAATCAATCTTTTAGACCACCGCAAGGTACTTAATAATTCCTGCGATATTAATTCCCTTAAAACCCATTATTGAAAAATATTATGTATTCTTGATACATCGGTCATTGACCTATGTCCAGCAGTGGACGAACATGGGTTGATGATGATGATGATGATGATGTATTCTTGAATATCTAATGGGTCCGGACTGTTAAAGTAGCTTTGTTCCTTATTAACAGAATTATAGACTACTGGACTTGTTTTTTTCTTTTCAGTTTTTATTTGAAGTATAATTAAGCAGTCGGGTTTTTTGATTTTTTAAATTTACCTTTTTTTAGGAAATTATGTTTGGGGAATAGGTATCTTCTGTCTGCCTATCTACCAAGTTATAACGATGAAACCCGAAGAAGCTATAAAAACGTCAAAAATCACGAATTTTTTAAACTGTATTATACCTTTTCTGACGGCTGTGGCGAGAGGAGTAAATCCATTATTGGAATTAACAATCCCGATCAAAGCTGGTCTTTCCTCCAGCATCACTTGAACCTGCAAAACACGTCCAGTTATGTTACCATTAATGAAATATAAAATTAAACGACGCATAGGAGTGTAAAATGTTTGTATTATTGTAGGTGTCTAAAAATGGGTTTGGTCCTAGCGACCAATGTACATTTCTTTCACATAGAGTCTTAAACAGGACTGCGTGACTTGGTTTTATATAAATTGTTAGTGACAAGCGCTGGTCGTCTTCCAGCTCTCTTTCTGTATACGGCCTAACTCTGTAGTCACGAGACTATCAGTATCAGACGTCACGGTGACTTTCGCAGCGTACGCGATATAAGCTTATTTTTTGGTATTTTTTTCGCACAATGGGTTACATTATCGAAGTTTTCATACGGAACCCTGTTTTGAAAATACTCTATAGCCTTTGTTCATCGGGGATAATGTAGGATTCTAAATGTCAAAGATTTTGTCAAATTGGTTTAGCAGTTTAGGAGCTTTATAATATTAGTATAGAATTACGTATTTATTATTCTCATAGAATTTTCATGAAATAATCATATAAAAAAAAGTATAAAAACTGACTTCCAGACTATCCCTAAAGAAAAATTTCCGTTTTAAAAAAAAATATTAACAATAAAGTATATCGAAATAAACAATATTAATTCCAAACTCCTAAAAACTATGGAATACTTAGCCCTGTTTTTTATAACAAAACAAGTTTTTTCTTCTGATCAGACTTGAGACTAGGCTGTATAAGTATTACTCCTTTGTTTTTTGCAAATGAACAAAATAAAACTTTACATATTTCCTGTCAGGCTGACGACACTGTTTACAAATGACTTATATTCATTTTTGCTTTAAAATACTTTTTGTGAAGTGTTAATCTGAGAAATAGGAGGAAATATTCTAAGAAAAGGCGAAATTTATGGCTCCGTAAATAATTTGCAATATCTTTTATCAAATGTAGCAAGGTAACGAAGTAGTAGTAATTTAACATAATTTTCAGGGTTGTAACTTATCTAAAGTTCCTGAGCTTTTTTCTTGAAATTTAAATTATAAATATTCAGCCATTCAGCATGATATTTAACCGAGTACAATATTTATAAATTGCTAGGGCAGTCTCTTAGTGAAGTAGTCGGTATTGTAGTGAATTGAAATGTTGCCTGACGTCACGTCTGGAACAATTTTTACTAAGCGGTGACGCCATAAAAATAATTAATAATTATTTTTTGAAATTTTAAATGATGGACTAAATAGAATTTCGTTTACTTTACTTCATCATCACTGCTTTTATACAATGAAGTGATTTTCTCTCGGAAATGTATTTCAGTGATGGGGTTAAATCACGGCGTAAGGTTTGCTTTCAATATTATTTCAAATCCTAAGTTGAATTAGAATATGTAAGCGAGGTAATAGATATATTCACTTGGTGCTGCCATATTATTCAGGCAAAATAACCAATTACCTGTTTAATGTATCCACATCGTACTGCCATGCAGAAACATACGGCGGAGGTGCCGTCCGTGTCGGTGCTTGTCCAAGTCTCTTCAGACCATTGGGAGTCCAACCAATTTTTGCCAGATGGGGTTGCATATCTGCAAAAATTATATGATCCTTGCAGCACTTTAAAGACAAAATGTTTAATTGATATCTGCTATGATCTACTTTGTGAGTTTATATTTCCAATTACCTTTTGTTATCTGCAGCTACGTGATTATCATATCTAGCTGCAACATGCTGGTCTTCATCCAAGCTGTTTCTTTTACCGTTATCTTTGTGATCATCTCTTTCAAATTCTTTTCTCCCTCTCTTGTCATCACTTGGACCTACCAAATCTTTGATATTATTGCGAACAATAGATTCATCACCATAATAATGTAAAGCCTTATCTGGGAGTTTCGGAACAGCTGTGGCTTTCAATTGTACTTTCAGACGGAATCTATAAGGATGTCGAGGAGACAAATTGTCAATGATTTTTGTTGTCTTCCCACCGCTGTAAAGGTATAAATCCATCCAGTAAAGAAAAGTTTGAAAGATTTTTATTTTATTACAAAATAATAAGTAATAATAATAATAAGTTTTAATAAAAAGCTTTGTTATTAAAACCCATAATAATCTTTAAAAAAATGGCGTGTCGTGCCACGCGTAGGGTAGGGTTCCGTAGTTGCATATAGTTACCGGAATATATTTGAGCAGGAGTATTTATTTTCTATATCGGAAATTAGAAAAACCAATTAATATCAATCTTTGTATCTCAACTAAAATACCTAAATCAAAGTTAAACTGCGTCACAAACTCAAAATTATTCGATATGATTCTTTTAAATACGAATGAAAACTGCCGATTTTTTTGTTTTCTCCCAGGCGCGGGAGAGGGTATGAAATCCTCATGGATACCCTACAGCCGGCTGCAAGGTTATGTCAGACTAACTCACTAAAAGCTTCATCTAAAGCGACCATCTTCTGAGAAGGGGATGATGACCTATAACTGCCTTTCTTTTCAAGTGCTTATACACTTTTTATAAAAATGTAACGTTAGCGTGGCTCAGAAGCCGTTGCTGTTGTTACTCGCGGTAGCGTTGTGGAGCTAATGATATTTGATATTGGTTTTTATATAGTTTTCCCTTAGATTTTGTTGCAATGCAAGGTTTTGCACTACAATAACTTCATCTATGTCACTATTAATGTATTCTTCTAAGGAATTTTCAATAGGTAAGAAATTTTCTTTAACAAAAGTTGAACGACTATTACTTTTAAACTAACAAATCTATCTATATCAGCTAAAGCTGGTGCCACAACAGCTACATCAGGGGTAACATGATGTTGTGGCAGGGCATACCTTATTCTCGCTCCCCAGCCCATATAGTAATTAAAATGTTTATTTAATAGTGACAAAAATAAGCTTTATTTTCATTGTTTTCTGTTGCTAAAATAATAATAGTCATAAAGTTATTTCTTGGATTAGGGAAGGATCATTCCATGTTATTAAGGTTTAAAATTAATAAATATTTCCAATACGCATACCAATTAGCCTAGCCCCAAAGAAAGCACTAGGTTTGTGTTATGGGATACTAGGGTAGCGGATAGAATACATATATAAGTATATTTATATAGAAATATGTATTAAACAACCATGACTGGACATGCTCGTATTCATCACACAAATATCTGCCCTCACCGGGATTCGAACCCGGACCTCTCGAGTAGGCCACACCTTGCAAGCCAGCGTACAAACTACTTGGTCATGGAGGTCGTCGATACTAAAAAGTTGAAATGGCTTATTCAATTGTTTTTAAACAATTCAGGAATAATAACTTCATGCCGAGGAACTTTTTGCCGATCAGTATCAAAATCAACTTGGCGAATTCTCTTTTGTCGTCCATCATCGACTACGCTGACATTTGCTATTCCGATCTGAGAGCTAAATTATGAGAGCGGCTGCAGAATGTTTGTACCAGGTTCATCTATAGTCTCCGTAAATTGGACCACCTGTTTCACTTCTGTAGGAAACTAACTTGGCTCCATATTCGCCGGCGCAGGGATCTACACACTGTTACGGTTCTCTATTATATACTTTTTCTGCCATCTTAGCTTAAGCAGTGTTTCTTCTTTCTATTTTCTTCTTCACAGCTCTCGCTGCGATTCTCTTCTTGCCTTAAGAAGAATCTTGAGATTCCCTGTCACTCTACTGACTTCTTCTCTTACTTCTATTCCACGCTGTTCGACTGTGGAATTCACTTCCTGAAGTTAGCACAAAGGCTCATTCACATAATTTCTTTAGTGATGAAGTTAAAAGCTTTTTCTTTTCCTTATCCTAAATTCATTTTACGACCTATTTCTTTACTTCTCTTATATTATGTAAGTATATCTCCTGTGTCTACGTTTGCACCCTTCTATATTTTTCTATTATTATTCCTTTTTCACCGTAGGTTGCCTGTAAGACATTGCTGTGTAGCAATATGGCCGCCTATGTATACTTTTCTTCATTTTTATAAGTTTGCCTTGTGTCCTCTATTGTGTGAAAAAAGGTTTTTATCTATTACTTTGTAATATTAATTTATAGTAAATAAGTACTATCAAATATTTAAGAGAACAAAATTAAATTAAAATTTTTAAGAATTCGCTAATTTATTACTAAACGACAATTTGGGAAGATTGAAATTTATTACTTATTCCATTATATCAGCCTGTTATAAACGTTGAAACCTGATTTGAGAAAGTAATTTCAGGTTTTACAACGAAAAAAGTTTTAATAAAGGAGCCGTCAGAAAAATGCAGACCCGCGTCTGGAAACTATCTTCGTAATTTTGACAGAAATAAGTTCAGCATAAGTTCAGTTTGTGTTATCCATAATCGGTTGATTTATATATAATTATTTTTGTGATTCTGGCTGATTCATTGATTGAAAAATTATAAAAGCACGAATGTTTTAGCGCTAAGGTTTTAGTACTTTTGTAATTGTACAGTCAAGTATAGTTTATCAATAGAGAGTGTATCATTCCAAAATAGACAAACGCGTATTAAGATTACTGAAAGGAAGTTAAGACAATCTATAAAGATATGATACTTGTGGTATCACTAGGTCATCAATGGTCTTAATGTACGAATCCTGGAGTGATATTATTAGAAGCGTATTTTAAAATACCCATGCAGCTCTTGCAGCCGCCCCGAGCAGCCTGCCGCCCCGGGCTATGGGCCTCTTGGCCCTAGGGTAAATACTCCCCTGGATATTATAAATCCCATTAAATAAGTGTTTATAATAATAAATAAATAAATGTTACCAACACTTACACCAATTAGCCTAGCCCCAAAGTAAGCACTGTAAGGCTTGTGTTATGGGATACTAGGGTAACGGATAGAATACATAATAATACATATACTGTACAAGTTGATTAATTAATTTATTCAACGACTTCCTGTTAGTTTAAATTACATTGTAGAATAATACGCGCTGTTCAGCAATTTAGATCATGTATTGTACACTTTTTAAGGTTATGTCTAGACTATATTAAAAATATAATTTTTATGTTTGATAATGCATTGTCTGTTATCTCTAAGTGTTAAACGACTGAACGAATTAAGATGAAATTTGGTTCGCATATAGTTACAGACCTGGATTGAGAATATATCAACTCTAAACGATAATTATTTTTATCCCGGAAAAAAAGGGTTTCTGTGGGATTTTCAAAAAACCAAAGTCGACGCTGACGAACTCGCGGGCGGCCACTAGTAAATAAATAAATAACAATCTTAACGTCTCAAGTCAATAACAAAGTCTGAGGATACTACCTATATTCGACGACCCATGGCGGCATTTTATTGTTCCTTTCAATTCTGTATATGAACTGGTCATCTAAAAACTGGAACTGTCTTGGGACGCTCCAGCTGAGGGTGATGAAGCACTTGCCCCTTTCCACCACAATTGGTGCTTCAGGTTTCAACCTTGTGAATGCTTCTTCAAGACATTTCTGAAGAGACATTGGGGAATTCCTCTCTTCCTTACAGCAGAATGTCAGCAAATACTACTATTTTCTAACGTTGTGGTGAGATTGGTTATTTCCCTTGTGATGGTACATCAGGGTTCTTATTTCATTGATCAGGCATCTTTTAGAGTCTATGGCGGTAGGTTATTCCTTATGAAGCATATAAGTAACTGGAATTTTTTTGAGTGTGTATGCTGTTGGTCGCAGATGACCTTTACAGCGTCACCGGGTTTGGGGACGGCGAGAGCGAGAGTCTAAGAGGCCTCAAGCCGAGAACTGGCAAGTGCTTCTAGAGGTATTCCAGGTGGATGGCATCTCTCCACGGGGGAGTATCCGCTCTGTCTGGAGCCTCTAGACCACTCGAACCTGAGGGGGTTAGCTCAACTAGAGGGCGTCTCTGAGACTCGTACCTCGGCTCTAGTTAACCGTTATCGTGGGGGGCGGGGAAAAACGCCCAGGTACGTACCTGTACCTGGTATAGCGTGTCGTGTGTAGTACGGGTCTTCGCACTCTTATCCTACAGGTGCGGTGCGATACAAAAATTGTAGGCAATTGTCTCTAGTTTCATTTTGTAAAATTTTTTTTATCGTAAAATGAGTTGGAAAGGAGATATTGTCAAAAAACTGCTTTTAGGCGCCATTTTTCCAACATGGCGTCGCTGCGAGCGGCAAAAATACGAGGTGGCTAAGTCAAAATTCGGAAAGAGCAGCTCAAAATCTATGAAATTACCAATTTTCAAAACTCCCGGAAAACTTTCCAGGTAAAACTACCAAATGACTGTATTAATCGCTTATTATTTGATATAAATTTCAGATACTCAAATACCTTGCATAGATTTCTAACAAAAGAGGTCGTGCCATAGAGTTAGGACAGAGAGACCGTCAACAAAGTGATCATTATCAGGGGTTGCTTTTTTTCTTTTGAGGTACGGCACTCTTGTAAATACTAAAATCAGTTATGCACATCTAGGTTTGAATCGGTTAGATTCTTCCTGATTCATTGATTGGTTTTAAATAAGAATTTTGAGAGACTTTAATTTTTTTATTTATGTAATCGTAGTATGTTAATTATTTTAATTACTTAATGTTAAGCAGAGGGCAGAGATTTTGCCAAACTGTGATTGAGTTGGCAGAATATAAGCTCAGATGTAGTCAAACACGTTTGTTCAACTTAGATATTATTATCATCAATTTGTTTTGTAAACAACTATTAATTTGCGACGCACTACTGTTACCTTTTACATTGCATTGGTAATTTTAAACAAATAAAATAGACTAGAACTGCTAATTTCCTATATACCCATTATGCAGCATGAATCTGTGTTATCTGCAACTAATTGATATCTACTACCAATAAATTCAATACTAAATTGAAGTTATAAATTATCATTATGATGTTATATAATATACACAGTCAGGTCATAAGTATTGTCACACAGTAAAAACTTTTCTATTAGAATGCTGGCCACAAAAAAGTTTATTGAATTCGAATTTCGAATTGTTCATGAAAATAAAAATGTATACATTTTTGAATTTTACTCATTTTTAAATATGGAGTGGTGGACGCTTAAAGAAGACCGTGTTGTAGTTATTGCGTCCTATCGGTCCGGTTACGCGCCAATTAAAATTTTTGATATACTGAAAAATTTGAATATAACCAAAAGATTCGTTTATCGTACCATCAAACGATACAATGAAAACTCTAGTGTAGATGACAGGTCAAGAAGTGGTCGCCCTCGGTCTGTTAGGACTCCAGCAGTGCTAAACACTGTGAAGGCGCGAATTCAAAGAAATCCCAAACGTAAGCAGAAACTGTTGGCCCTTCAGATGGGGTTAAGCAGAACCACGGTGAAAAGGGTGTTAAATGAATAGTTAGGGCTTCGGGCATATTCAAGAAAAATAGGACATCGTTTGAATGCTCGTCTAATGGACCTGAGACTGAAGAGATGCCGCGCTTTGTTGAAGCGGTACGCGGGAAAAAATATCGGGAAATTCTTTTTTCGGATGAAAAAATTTTACCGTGTAAGAGAGGTACAACAAACAAAATGATAAGGTGTACGTACACAGTAGTGAAGAAGCGAGCAACCGTATTCCGCGTGTCCAACGAGGTCATTTTCCATCCTCACTCATGGTATGGTTGGGAGTTTCTTATTGGGGCTTAACAGAGGTACATTTTTGTGAGAAAGGTGTAAAAACGAAAGCAGTTGTGTATCAAAATACAGTCCTGACGAACTTTGTGGAACCTGTTTCTCATACCATGTTCAATAACAGGCACTGGGTATTCCAATAAGATTCGGCGCCAGCTCATAGAGCGAAGAGCACACAAGACTGGCTGGCGGCGCGTGAAATCGATTCAAATGATCAAAATCACGGAGGTTGAATAAACTTTATTGTCATAAGAATCTATGTTTTGTTAAGTTCATTTTGGTATATAAATGGTTACATAATGAATAAACTTGTTTCAATTATTTTATATTAAATATGAGACAGAATTTATGACTTGACTAGGCAATATAGCATAATTACGAATGATTTATGTTTTTATCCTATTTCGCTCACAGGAAAGCCTGAATACCAGCAGTGGGGATTTCAGTAGGATGACGACATGATTCATTTCAGTAACTTGTTCAAGACTAGTTTGAATAATCTAAGAAATTTACAATCCATTAATTATACGTATTGTGGAAACTGACATACTAAATCCAACAGAAAAGGGCACTGTATTAAAATAACATTAATGCTATTAATAACGCCCATTAACAAAATAGTTATGTTACATAATTCGCATAATCGAACACAGACCCAGTTCACATCACTAAATCACGTGGAATTCCTGATAAATTCCAAGATTTACAAAGATTACTAGTAAGCCCGACGGTTCCTGATCCGAAACTAAAGTTATGCGCAGCAGACGACCACATATAATGAGCGATATTTCGCGTTCCCCTGACAATAGATAGCTAAGTTTGATCGATGCCACTACAAACACACCAAACAGTCTTGCCAAACGATTATCAACCAAATTTTCTTGAAGATAAGGATGAAAAAACAAGCACGATGCCGCTACGTAGATACCTATTTAATTAAAGTAGAACTGAACATAGTTGGTGAAGTTTGAACAAAATTACAAATTAGTTTTTAAGGGAATTCACCGTTCTGAGCTTTAGGTGTTAATTAATTGGGTTCAATGGTTTGCCAGGTAAAATTGTACGGTGTGAAGTCTCGTGGTTTGTAAGATGAATGTATATTTTGATTACTGAATTCGAAAGAGAATAAAAAAGGACTGTTCTCAGAACTATAATAACATAGTTGCTATAATAATATATTAATGCTGTGAAATTGAAGACGATGTTGGCTAAATAACAGTTATTCTTTAGGTGAATATGAATTTGAAGTGAGTTCTTACACACTTGTTTCACACGAACGAGAAAACAGGTAATAGCTAGATCATATCATTGAAGACACACTGCACTTATACTTATAAAAGCAGGAGTGGTTTAGTATTTTTCTAGGCATTCTTCTAAAGATTTTAGTACGTTTAAAAACGTGCTGATGAAGAAGGTTTGATGGAATGTAAGAACCTATCCATTTAGATTACAGCCCTTGCTTGATCGGCAGAGTGTGATTTTTAAACCTACGTGTTATCTAGATCCAGACCTGATTTCCAATGAACTCTGTGAATTTTCGAATGTGACTGAAGTAAAATCGCCGCATTTATTTCCTACCCAACTGATATTCAATAAAAATAGTTAGGAAGTCAAATTGTCTACAATTTCGGCAACTGTGCCAGCTTAACGTGATATACGAAGCATAATTAGCAACCAAAAGTAAAACTGAAAAGGACCGGTCGCTAGTTTACAGATCAGCCTCCCCTCTCCTTACCTCCGCTTCCATACTCTAGGCATTGGAGAAGGCAATAAAAGTCCGACCATAAAATATTTCCGGGAGATCGGCCAGAGCTCGAGTCGGGTCGACAACTGAAACTACTTATAGCATGAACCGTTGCCAATACCATTTCGTTATATTTTTGGATAAAAGTAGATTTGTGAGCGGCAAGTACTTAATGTAATTGTTAAAGGGAAAAGCGTGATTCGGTTTATTTATTGAGTAGAAGTAGTCACCTACTTTAGGGAGCGGGTGTTTTCATCAGTATTTAAACTGTTAAAATATTTTTATTTTCGGGATCAATTAAGTACATGTTTACAAAGATTTTTTTTATATAATAATAATATTTATTTCACAAGCCGGTTTAACAAGAATCGTTAACAATACACACACACATATACAGTGTAGTTTAGAATAAACATTTTATTGTATCTTCTGTGCCTGTACTAGGTTATAAAAATACCTGTATCACAGACACAGCGCTAGGACCAGTTACAAAACCTTTATGTAATACAATGGTTAAAATAGAATTCTTGTGAATAAGTTTAACAAAGTTAAATCAATATTTAAGTAAAATATTTGATGTTAGTTTAAACTTTATTCTGATGCAAGGCAGGATTTAAAATCATTTTACACCTGATATTGGAAAACACTTTATTGTACATATTAGCGATGTGCCAGCAATATGAAAGACAGGTAGGGTATAGCCAACTGTTTTTTAATCTCAGAGACAAAAATGACACTACTATCGTTGCTCATAAAATATATATTATCGTTTTTATTTGAAAGGGTTGTAGTAAGCATTATCGGTGTTTTTTAATCTCAGAGACAAAAAGTTTATTCCAGTTCTTAAATAGTGATGTACTGCTATCGGAAATTGTACGTGAGAATAAATAGCTTTTGTACGATAGAAAATGCTAAATGAAGAGACTAATGAGAGGCCTACAGGTACAGATATAAAATTAACTTAAATTAATATTTTTTGAATTTCTTTATAAATAAATTATGAATACAACATTTTTCACACAGGGAAAAACGAAGCTAATAATAAGATAAGCATATTATACTAATCAGATATGAAATTTTTTAAACGTTATCATCCGACTGCATCTAGTACTATAATAAAAGTTCGGTGATATCGACTATACGACCCAGTTAAACGTTTTTATTTAAAATAAAAACGGCGTGTATTCATGTATAACGCATAAAATAATAATACTGATAAAATGTGCTATATATTTAAAAAAAAAAAAAAAAAACTTATAGAGCCGGTATCGCGGATACAACACTACATAATAAAAGCTGGTATCATTATTTGCAAACTTGACATTTACATAAAATGTGTCATTTTTATCTCTGAGATAAAGTACATTTTGCTAGAATTAGAGCTCCTGCCACCATTCAACTTAATTACCTCTGTGTTATGCGAGCATAGCAGTCATACTACTATTATTTTGTTTAATCATTCCTGTAATTTATTTATTAAATCCGTTTTCGTATATAAAAAGTATGTGTAACTATAGATCTGGATCCAGAGCCTTAAATATTTTGGTGCAATAACATCAAAAAGGGCTTTGGTTACTTAACGCCTCATCGAAACCAATTTTTTAATGTATTAATGCTACAAGACACTAATGGAAAGGCCTGTGTTTTATGTGAAGGACACAGCGTGTTTTGGTGATTGGAACGACAGTCTGAAGATCTCAGCTCAGTAACTCTATTCTGTATTTATTGTTGTTGAAGAAGACTTACAGAGTTTCTTTTGTCAAGCTTGCAGTATGTTTGGCTCATATTTACCTTGCCGAAGATACATAAGATTTTGGCCTTTGAACCTACCTCATCTGTAATTAACATCATTAGGGGTGAAGTTATTTACAGGGTGCGCTTAGAAAAACTGATCTAATCAAATCCTCACAACCGATCACCGCAACTCTTCGTAGTTAGTAGACTTTTAGTAGTAGTAGTGGACTTTTATACAACCGGTGCTCCGACTATTAAGGTCCAGCAAAAAACATTGAAATAACACATTACATTAAATTTGATAATTAAACAAAATGCAGAATCAGTGAATCTCGGACAGACTAATGAAGGGAGAGACGGACAACATAGAAAGATTATTAAAATCTTGTTTAAAACACGTTCATAAAATAAAACATCCATAAAGTCAAATGAAATCGCCTTCACCTTAAACTATGGTGATTATTTATTATAATGCTTATTACTCGCTTGTTTGTTTACTGTTTTCATCATCATGGCTATTACAGGCTTTAGAGCCCACTGATGGATTTATATCGCTGTTCGACTATATCATGGAATTCATGTAGACCTTTACAGATTCCTACCCTAACCCCTACCTGCTGAAATAGATAAACGTATTTATAATGAACGGAGAGTGTTATTTTTCTCTAGTCTATATAATTGTCTATATTTATATTTACCTATGGAAAAAATATATTCTCAACATTACATGTTAGAATCTAATTTTGTTAAAGAAAAGCAGTATAGGATCTTAAAAAAGTATTGAAATACGGAATCAGCTGAAAGGACGTCTCAGAGTTTTCTTCAATTCCAATTACCATTGAATAAAATAAATCTCACAAACGAGAGCAGTCGATGATGAAAAAATACAGTATTTGTGTTTCTCATTTTGGATCAAATGATTTTATGACAAAGATCATTTTTAAATTGAAAACATACTTTGAAATTAGGTAATATACTAAACTATTTTGACAAACTTTGTTTTTGGATGACCTCATGATTCCTCAGTAACTCTGCCTTGGTGTTTCGTGTAAATGTAGTTTACATGTGGAGAAAGTGCAGTTATACCAGCTTTGCCATTACCAGACTAAATCTTAGTTTCTCTACCTTCTGTAGACTTCTACGTTTGCTTCGTTGCTTCTTCCATTGTCTAAGAAACAGTGCAGGATAAATTCCATCAGAAGAACTATTCAAGAATCAGAAAAGAAACTTCCTTGAGATACATCTATTAGGAGAGGAGCCACCAATCCTGAAAGCTCCGTGATAACGGATTCTAATATTATTAATAAAAAATAAAAGTTAACGTTTAGACGAACAAGATTTGCTTGGTCGGCGTGGATTTGATTGGCCGGAAATATTTTAATTAAATTATTTATTATTAAATTTCCATATTTTTTTTCCGTCATCACGGATTTTGATCAATCTTATATAGAATTTTGTGTGAAATATTATGTTGAAAAAGAAAAAATCCGGCCGACCAATGATTTTTAGCCGGAAAGGTCACGCATACCTATTTGAATGGTGTGATAAGGGGTAAAATTTATCCATTATCACGGAAACCTTTTTTTGTTTTTTTTAATTTACGCGTTTTAATGTCACATTTATAATTATCTTCGTATGCGTGCTTAAAAACTGCCGAAAGTATCGCGCATACCAAATTTTATTGTGTGAGTGAGGATAATACTGTTATAGATTTCACTTACTTGATGACATTTCTTTTAGAGTCTCTCTTCTACCTCTGGTCTCATCCTTAAGTTTTTAACTATTTATTATACTAATTAATATGGAAAAGAGGGAACACAGGATTTTTTTTATTTAAGCATATATTATTTTAATTATTAATTGCATTTTATGTTCATTTAATGCATATTATTTAAGTGCTTACATAGAGGTCATAGAGTCTATTCAGAATATATAAAGTGTACATCTTTTACGATTAAATATAACAATTATAACCTCAAAATCTAATACATTCTGTAGAAGGTCACGGTTCCTCAAGTTGTCCGTATCTCAACAAATGCCTAATGAGAGTTTATAAATGATTCCGAACACAACTAGCATTTTCTCATTGCTGTGCGTTCTGAGGCATTTAATGTATGGGGAACGAGCAATGTCCTTTGGTATGCGCGATACTTCCGGCAGTTTGTAAGCACGCATACCAAGATAATAAATGTGACATTAAAACGCGTAAATTAAAAAATAATAATAAAGGTTTCCGTGATGATGGATAAATTTTACCCCTTATCACTCCATTCAAATAGGTATGCGTGACCTTTCCGGCTAAAAATCATTGGTCGGCCAGATTTTTTTTTGTTGAACATAATATTTCACACAAAATTCTATATAAGATTGATCAAAATCCGTGATGACGGAAAAAATATGGAATTTTTAATAATAAATAATTTAATTAAAATATTTCCGGC